GCGATAAGTTACCCATCGCGAGGCTGCGTCCAGAACTGTCGCTCGATTTGGAGCACATGTGTGGACACCGACCATGCACTTGTATGTGCTGACCTGCGGTTACACTTTGGCGGATGCCCACGACGACGTTGTGAGCGCATTGACACCAGCCAATTGGCGAAACCAGCTGTTCTGAATGCCTATCAAAGTACGATGTCATGCGAGTTGAGTAAGCGCTCATTGGATGCAGTTGAAGCTCACTGGTCTCATATTCACCAGACCTTACTAGCAGCAGGAAACTCCTCATGGGGTAAGTCTAATAGCCAACATGGACATCGGGTCTCTTCGCACTCTCTAAAACTTATCGCTGCTCGCCGGCATATTCCGGCTGGAAACGAACACAACGAAACTCGCAAAGAGCTCCGGGCAAAACTCCGTGCTACCCTGGAGAGAGACCGCGAATCCTGGTGGTCTCATCGTGCATCAGAGATAGAAATGGCTGCTGCCCTTTGTAACCATCGTAAATGACTCCGGCTGTTACTGGAAACGGGCAGCAGGAGACCTAGTGTTAGTGAAACAATTTGTGACGAGAGTGACCAGCCTATTCATAACTTGTCAAAACGCTTGAAGCGTTGGGCTGAGCACTTTGAAAGACAATTTAATCGGTCGGGATTGTTAGATTTCTCGCCGGCCACTGATCGCCCGGCTCCGTGGGCTGTCCCTTTGGATCCACCGTCTCGCTCATAAGTCGAACGTAAGATCGCACAGTTGAAGTTAGATAAAACTGCGGAACCAGATGATCTACCTTCAGCTCCCTTCAAATTTGGGGGACCTGCTCTTGTGGATGATTTATACTGGTTCGTAGTGAAACTCTGGGAGCAGGAAACTATCCCAACCGACTAGTTCCGCTCCGTCATAGTCCCAATTTTCAAGCGAGGCTCACGATCGGATTGCGAAACCATAGAGGAATCAGTCTGATCTCCATCGCCTCCAAATTGCTTGCCTCTGTCATCCTTGACAGACTGACTGGCACTCGTGAAAGCCAGATTCGTTAAGTGCAAGTTGGGTTTCCTCGAGGTCGTGGCTGCATTGACCACATCTTCACTTTGCGTCAGTTGTTGGAGCACCGTCACATATATTGGCGGCCCACCGTTGTCGTGTTCCTCGATATCAAAAGTGCATTGGATTCGGTGGATAGAAGTGCACTTTGGGACTGTCTACTCAGTAAAGGTGTACCTGAGAAACATGAACATATTATCCGAGCATTATACGTACGTAGTTCAAGCAGAGCGAGGGCTTACGGCAGGCTATCGTCGCCCTTTAATATCTCCATCGGTGTGAGACAAGGATGCCCCCTGTCATCTTTCCTCCTCAACTTTGCTATTGGTGAAGTCATGGAAATCGCGTTCACAGGACACGATTTAGAAGGTGTGGACCTGCTCCCAGGAGAACAACTTCTTAACTTGGAGTATTCTAATTATATTGACCTAATTTGTGACAGCTCCCAGACGTGCCAACCGGCACTGGACAGATTAGCACTGGCTGTCAGACGCTTCGGGCTTTGCTTTGCACCATCGAAGTGAAAAGCGTTCCTCCAAGCTTGACCTGGACCGCTTCCTTCGCTGACCCTTGGTGGGGATCAGCTAGAAGTCGTTCAGAAATTCAACTACCTGGGAAGTTGTATCAGTGCCCGTTGGATTGAAGATGTAATCGCGAACCGTATAGCAAATGTTCGAGGCCCTTTTGTTCACGTTCGGCACCTATGGAGCGGGCGCGGCATCATTCTCCCCCTGAAGGCTAGAGTGTACAATGCAGCAGTACGTTCGACCCTACTGTACGGTTGAGAAACCTGGCCCCTTAAAGCAGCGGACCTGAAGAGGCTAGTTACGTCCGACCACCGGTGCCTTCGTAATTTAGCTCACATCTGGTGGGAACACCGCGTAAGCAACGAGCGTGTTCGATGCCTTGTTTACGGCACAAGAAAAGGAAATGAACCACTCAGCACCGTTATTTCCCGCACGAGGCTCCGATGGCTCGGCCACGTGTTACGCATGCCAGCCCACCAACTACCGCGACGTGCGTTGTTTGCGCACTGGGCGTGTGGATGGAAGGAGGAGGGGTGGCCAAACGATGACTTGGTCAAGAGGAATGAAGGTCGTCACTTCTGAGCTGGCCTCAGTTGGAGCGTCTCGGCTTCCTGGTTGGGGTCCGAAAGACGATTAACACGTTTGGTTGCACACACTTGCTGACAGGGCAAGGAGCTGACCTCAGTGGCGTTCGTGCTGTGAGTTTCTTTGTCCCACCCCATCCCTCTTAACCTCCCCCTCCAACCACGATCTCATTATTTAACCGGTTATAATTTTGCATAAGAATTTGCTTTTTTTGCTGCCTAGTAGTCGATAGATAGCTTACCGGAACGATGCCCATCCGTTACCGGTAGCTCAGCTGGCTTACACCTGTAGCATTTTATCCCCTTTGTTTCTTTTAGGTATTGCGGCACAGTAGATGAGGTGTTTCCCACCTTTAGCTAACGTGTATAGTTTGTGTGTGTGTGCGTTTATCGTCCGTATGAAAAAGCCGAATGGATAGCCGCATCTTCTACTGTACGGCAAGGGAAACCCGTGAGTTGGTTGTGCTCTCATGACACAAAAATTTCTCTGGTTGAAGTTATCCAATTCATCCGATTCGCTCCATGATCGGTGCCCCCCGAAATTGATCTTTGCTCATGTGTCTTGAGACTGCCAGCGAACTTTGACGAATGGTAATTCTCATTGATCCCGGGAACTGCTGAAGCACTACATGAAGCAAAACGCTTTAGTGTACTACTTCATAAACTTTTGCACTGACCAATGATTGACACCTTGGAGGCCTGAATCATCTACCGTGGCCATTCATTTTAACAGTTGTGTCCCCCATTTTACAAATTATATATTGGCTACACTATAGCACTGCACTCCACTGCGCGTTTCGATCCCACTTCGTCTCATCAAATAGAGATGGCAGGCATCTAACCCAGGACCATTGGGATTTTTGTTGTGGCCGCTACACCTGGCCCTCATTTTACTTAAACAATTCACTATCGACAACACAACGGGCACATCCTACTGCACGGGCGAAGCAAGACTTCTAATAACTGTAACATGTCGCACCTCATCGAGCACGACTCTGAAAACTATTTCTGAATCATCTCTCCTTTCTTGAACATGGTGCTTTTTATCTGACATTCCGGTTTCTAAAAAAGTGTTACCTCCGTAAGTTTACAATTCAAGGGACAGGACCAAAGTTATCAACCGAGTGTGGTGGTTAGCATATGGAGGCCCTATACATACCCTAGCGTACTCTACTTTCCCGTTGTGAGTAGTACACTGTCAACTTTATTTCATGTTCATCCCATTTCCAACTTATTAGCTGAGCTCTTAGCTAATGGCCAACACTTTTAAATCAGTTATTTTAAATAGCGGAACTCAGTTTGGTTTCTTCTAAGTTAAATCTGCTGTCTTTTATCGCAAATATTGGTAACAGGTTAGCTTAGAACTGCTGAATCGACGATTTGACAGGCAGTCAGACCTGGCTGGGACCTGTGTAATGAATACGCACATGTTCCAAAGGGTAGACGTGATGCGTGCCTGTGTATGTAGAAAAGCGAGGAAAGTATTTATACAAAAGCGGTCTTGGTCGTTCCGTCGACGCGGATCTATGGGCATACACTGTACGGGATAAACACCCATGCGTGTAAACACAGAGCGGAATGAAGATACACACGGATATGCACAGAGACAGAGAATATTATCTAACGCCAAATTTCTGCGGTGCCATAACGTGCAGTGATTGTGGGTCAGGAAAATTTTACACATTTCAACATCCCGCTTCATACATCTTATTATTTGAACGAACGAGTTGTTCAGCGGCCATTGCACAGCAATTCTTCACATTATCACGCTATAACGGTTAAATCAATTCTGGATGTTATAGCCCAAGTGGTCAATTTACAGCTTACAGAAGTCTGGTCCCATGGGGTTTACATAGCTAATCTTTCAGCTATGAAAAACGGTTTATTTAGAGAAGATATAATGAGTGTCACGTTTTGGGGTTTAACTTAAATCTTCCTATATGACACAGTTTCAGCTGTTCCACCCGTAACGGAGTTTTCACCATCTGACGGACGTAGCTCATCCGATCGTTGTTCTCTTGGGATCTGTTCTGTATCTTAACCGAATACTCTGGATGCCATTGACACGTAACGCTTCATGCTGCAGAACATAGTTTGTATCCGCAGGATGAAAGACATTTCTTCAAGACCGAGTTGTCCTGTCAGCCGTCCCCAACCTTACACCCAAGTTGCTTCACCTGCTTGAAAAATCTTGTGGTTTTTCAGCTAATCAGCGTTTACTTGGACATAAGAACACCAACGAGTCAATCGAAGTGTGCTCATTACACACTCATGTGATTCACCCACTGTTACTGTGCTGATATGCTGCATACCATGGTTATTTGAAGACTATGATAGCTTAATCATATTTGACCATATGTGCCTACGTAGCTTTGCTCCTACAGAGTCAGACTACCTAGTTTGGAGAATCAACTCCTTTAGGTAGTGCTAGACAAGAAGTCTACGTTTGCACTGAAGAGTCTTACTGCATCAGCTGTGCGCCGGCACGCAGTACTGACGCTTCGCTGCCGCGCAATCACCACCAGTCGCTTGTGGGCTAAGAATACTGCGAGGGTCGCCCGGTCCCTTACGTAAGTTCGAACCCCCGACCTCAGGATTATAGGGCAGGCTTGTGATCCTAAAGGCTACGGACCGGCTACTGCTTCTCTTACTGCTCGCCAGTTCTCATTCCGGTCAAGTCCCGTTGCTCACTTTGCACCGGCTTACCTATCTCGAGATGTTTTGTCCACCTGCGCGCTCATCTCAGTACGCGGTCAGTGACGTGACAAAAGAACTGTTGAGATGCTTGGTTATATAGCTTAACTCGGCCTAGTGTTTCCCATTGTACAGAATGAAGCCTTCGTTTTTATGATTCGGAGCACAGCACACCCAATTCTGGTCCTCATCCCTTCCACCCAACTTTGAAGCTCCCCCTCCCACCCACCCAATTATCCGCTCATATTTTTGGTTGTGTTTAATCATCAGCTTTTGTTTTCGCTCACTATCCCCCATGCGACACGTGACATTGCTGCGTTTTAGAAACATCTCTAGTTTTCGACTGTTTCCTCCTTTTCGAATTGGGTTGAATCTATGAAATCTCAGCTTAAACGACCTTCCCTACCGAACTTAACCTCAAAGCTCGATCCATTATACAACATTATTTCCTTCTCCCACTTTCCCCTAAAGATTTTATCGAATCCAACGCACTATCTATTTATTCCACTTTTTTCTGCAAGGGACCCTCGAGCATCGGAGGACGAATATTTTCTCTCTCCCACGACGATTTCATCGCTCATGGAAACACTCTCCTTATACCCCCTGGACTCCCCCGGTTACCTCAGAGTTCATGCACATTGTGAGTGTGTGTGAATCAGTTTTTCTTGGTAGTACCTGTGGCATCATTCGTGGTGATTTTTTGTTCATATCGATGTTTTTTCAATTGTCTCCTCTGTTGTCTTTTCTAGAAACCTTTGATTTGCTACCGTTTTTATCCCTTTTTCTCTCTCAACATTCGGTGTTGTACGTTCATACACTAATCAGTCGAGTCCGCGTGATGTATGTTTCGGTTTGGGGTCTGCATCTATCCTCAAACACTCTTGGGTTTAGTCAACTTGCATTGTGTCTGATGGCTCACTTTCTGTTACAACGTTTGGTCCACTTCTCCAGTGTACTTGCCTCAATTCACCGAATAAGTTGCTGTGCAGACTTTGAAGGCCTTTGTGACTTTCCAATGTCTCGATTACTTACAATGACTGGGATACATCAAGTTGGCATTTTTTTGTCAAATCCTAATCAATACTTGTTGCTGATTCTACCAGATCGGTCACTCTTAACCACTAGCTCACTGGATACTGCTAGTGTCTTGTTGGAGCATCAAGTTCGCACTGCGGATGCCCATCCTTTGGTGTTAAGTGAGAGCTTCAGTTTTAGAGCACCTGGACTCACAAGTCATGCCACAGTCTGCCCTCGTCGTCGTCCACTGTGCAAATACACAGCCAACCATCTTCCTGATTGAAAATGGAGAAACTTTCACAGTCTGCATTTTTGTAGTTCTACCTGACCATACGTTCGCCTTATTTTCTGGAGTACATGGAGTTCTGCTGGAGCCCAATCTTTGTTACTATCTAGCGAAAACTTGCACACCTATTGAAATGCAAAATGTGGAATCCGGGTTATCGTCTATCCCGGTACGACACCAATTTGACTTCCAAGCGCTGGCTAAAACATGGCTTTGCGGACGCACCCATAAGCCAAATCGGAAAAAGCAGAGTGCTATTATTGAGATGCTCAATTATTGCGTTATCACCCCCATCTGCATTTAGGAATTCGTCTAGTTCACCGAGCCCGATACCTTCACATATACATATAAATGTTTATTTCTTTTCGCACCTACTAACCTAGAATAAGTTGTGTGAACATAGTTTTCCTACATGTTATAATGCACCTGTATTCACATTTTTCTCCCTCAGACAACGCGCATCGTCGTAATCATCCACTGCCCATCAATTCTTTTCTCACTTAGCCGAATATTTGTAGAAGATACTTTTGATTGACGACACTCATCATTGGTATCCGGCACGTACAATGCGAACACATATCCTTGTGTCTGTATCCAGTCCGTCTCACTGCCGTAATTTCCTTAATAGCTCGAATAGTATTTGTGATCCTATATTACTCACGAGTAACAAGATTTTAGTTTTAAATCTGATAAGGCCTTCATCCCAATAATTCACAAGCTACATAGCAGATCCTAGTCCGAAAAAGCGGCAGACGCGTTTGGCCCTCTTGTGGCTCATAAGTGGTGTGCATTCCCTCGGCCCTCTAAGGTGGATCGAACCCATGACCGCTAGAGGCAGGTGCCAACTAGGCAGCAGCTTAAGCCATTGAGCCATGGGGGACGTTGGCTGGGCTACATAATTTGCAAACTAACTGGGATATAGCACCACCTATCTTCCACTGTCACTGATAGTGGTTAGCCTGCTAGGTGATGACGTCCTCTCACTAGACACTGTATTTATAGCATTTGAAACTAGGAGAGGCTATTTTTATTTTATATTACTCACGAGTAGCAGGATTTTAGTTGCAAATCTGATAAGGCTTTCGTCCCAATAGTTCACAAGCTACATAGCAGAGCCTTGTGCGGAAAAGCGCCAGACGCGTTTCGCCCTATTGGGGCTCGTCAGTGGCGCGCATTCCCTCGGTTTTCTAAGGAGGATCGAACTCATGACCGCTAGAGGCAGATGCCAACTAGCCAGCACCTCAAGCCACTGAGCCATGTAGGACGTTGGCTAGGCTACATAATTTGCAAACTAACTGGTCTGATCTCTATATTTTGTACGGTTAGCATTTTCCAGAATATGGCGACTAAAAAATTTCCTCATTGCAGCCAAAACCCTGTTTATACGCGACGCATTCAACTCCCTGATCTACCCGTCCGATTTCGGAGCCACACTTCTCATCTTCTCTCTTTCCTTCCCCCAACCTCTCAGTTCTATGGATCAATTACCTTCTGTGCTCACTGAGAAATGACTATTCGGAAATGCGGATTTACGCTTCTCTGGTATGTTCGTTATCGACGTCCAACTTCATTATGTTTGCTCTCATTGTTGTACCTCTTCATCACATGTTTTATATCACCATCGCGGCTGTTGAATTTATCATCAACACAACTGTCAGCCCTCTTCATTCCGACAGTCCTATCGTGTAATTCATACTATGACGTGGACGTGGAATTCCGAACCCCAGCTCGATCGCTTACGTGTATGAATCTTCATTACGTGACTCTTACAGTCAGGAAAGAAGCATTTTACCCTACTTGATCACAGCCCAACGGTTTTAATGACTCATGTGCTCCAGCTTCTTTACTATTCGTCTAACGGGATGCGGTAGCGCGTACTGAGCCTCCAAACTTTGACGAGAAACGACGCTTGCTTTTTTCGCATAGATTATGAGCGTTGCTGTTTGTCTACACTTGTCTATGAGGTCATATCATCCACCAATTCCAAACTGAGCATTCTCCGGCCAGTTAGACTCAAACGGCCCATAATTCACCAATGGTCCGCCTATTTTACCGCAATGTTGTTTTGTCCTATCCTCAATATGCACCCTGATTATTCCCACCCCTGCTTGTCATTCGTGTGATCGGTTTCAAGATGTGTTCCTCCCCTAACTCATTACTTGCGCACGCCCATGATGAGTTTGTCTCACACTGTCTTGTCTGTCGACAGCAGCCTTCAGCAAGGCTAAGAATGGGGTCTTTGAAATATGCGTTCATCTATACCATTTCCCGGCCAAGTTGTCCTCTTGGGCAACAGAAATAATCTGACGGGGGCATTCAACATGAGTCTACTCAATTAATTTGTTCCATGCGTACGCCAGTCACTTGTGCAGGTGTGTAGATGTGCGCGTATACCCGTCGCCTTCAGCCAACTGGACCTCAGACGCACTAAGTCATTGGGGTACAGGTGGGACGCTTCAGCTCCTACGCACGGAACAAATTAATTGAGTAGACTCATGTTGAATGCTCCCTCATTATTTCTGTTGCCCAAGAGGACAACTTGGCCGGAAAATGGTGTAGTAACATTTGTTCACAAGCTCCATCACTTTTCCTTCACCTTGGCCCCTTTTTCGGTCCTTTCCTTTACCTAACAACTGAACGCGTCAGCCACATTAGCATTTTAATTGAACCACCTTTCTAGTTTGGGCCATGGTGTCACTTTGAATGTTTTAAGATCATCTTGAAACAACCTCCTCTCTCTTTGTACGGTCGGATTTGACCATTTCCAGGTTCACTGTCTGGGCTATTTTTGTGCGTTTTATCGCATGTGACCCGATTGGTATAACGGTCACTTTTCACAGTATGGATCCCCGAAAGGGTTCTCTTAACTCGCTTGATCTGCCAAATTTGTAACATCCTTGTCGTCTCCGTTGTTGTCACTTGGAAGCGTCTTTCCTCGCTTACTGGCACTGATCGATCACTTTTGCGTTAGCATCATCACAGCTGTGAGTGGACTTCCCTATTATGATACATGAAACAACGCGCTGTTGGATACTGTCACTTGAGAGTGCATCGCTATCACAGGGATCCGCACACGCACATTTGGTTTCCTTGTGAGTAGGAGAATATTTTAATGATCTTTTACTGATTCATCCTAACAGTGCACTAGTCGTTTCGCCGTATTGTTGCCCGTCATTAGTGCACTTCCCGCTCCTCTGTAGGCCGGCCACCGCAGTGGTAGTAGTCTCTATGGCGGTGGAGGATACTTTGCTGTATATGCCAGTTACATTGCAAGTTATGATGATCTGCCACATCTCCCATGGCTTAGTGGCATAAACTCCTGGCTAGTGGTCACGAGTTCGGTTCATGGCGGGCCACAGAATGATACCTTCCGAGGGAATATCCCGCATGGAAGCAGGTCCCCGGTAGTCGGTTCCACGGTTAGTCGTATTAATTCTATTCTGCGTATTTTAATAGCCACTTTCATCCTGCTTTTAAACTCTCCTTCTTTTTATCATTGGTAGACCAATTGAGCTCCTCATATACCTGATTTTGAACTCTTTCAGAAAATCTGAAATAACATGTGCACTTTGAGATCACGTTGTACCATATGATCAGTCCACGTTTTGGACTGTAACTCGCACAGTCGAGAAAATATACATACTTATGTGCGCTATTGACAGACTCAAATAGCGCGAAACAGTTGTCTGGTGCTTTTCCGGTTTGTTGCTTACACTAGCTAGCTAGTGCGCTACTGGGACGAATCAGTAAAGAAACATTTCGTGTTGTTGGTCTCTTGACTACCCGTAGGGTGAGTAAATACTTCAGGTCGATATCATCTATCATCTGGTCCCCACAGATCGCACACCGAAATGTACTCCAAGACAAAGCCACTGCGGACTCATGACAGATCGCCGGGCGATTTTTGGATGATATAGCACATTTTTCATTAGCTGTCATCTGTCGTTAATCCTCATCTCGTTGTCTTCTTTCGGAAATAGTCCAGACACGTTTTTTGAGCGACATGAACGCAACTAGAACATTCCATTTCTTGTGCGGTTGTTGCTTGGTTGGAACTTGAAAATTCAGCGCCACCTAATAAGCGTCTGCGGAGGCGGTAGACTACGCTTCTCTTCTTTCTTAAATACCATACATTGAACAAATCTGTCGGTGTGCACCTTGCCATTTTGTTTCTTGCGGGTTATAACCCACCCTTAGACCGTTACCGATCATAACTCTCCAGAATTGCTTGCCCTGAATACATTAACCGTCTAGGTCCAACGCACCCTCTGCTGGATTTTGTATACTCCACTGTGTTTAAAGTAAGGGCTTTCAAATATTCCATCAATGTTTTCGACGGACAGATTTCCTCTCGAAATGTATAAATTTTAATTAGTTACCAGATTTGTCAGCAAGACCTCTATTGAATTCAGCTAAGAATCGTTAACCGAGGCTTGTGTCTCTGCTTTTTTACTTACGCGCATATTTTATCCAGCTTGATAAAATCATCCAGTCGGCTCGAAAATCGCCTTACGAACGCGAAAATGTATGAAAAGTTTGTCCTGTTCTCCGAGCTGCGCAATTCTGTTGCAGACGTTTCGTTACCAAACTAGGTAACATCTTCAGTGCAGCTATTTGATGCTGATTCGCGAAGTCTCGCAAACCAATGCCAGATCTGAATGGCTATTGATTGTTGCCTGCTTCGAATGTCAGCCTTCGATCGGGAGCTATGGCTGTCGTAATTCCGGAAATTAAAAATTCTTGCGAAAAACGTGAGCTTATTTTCAAAATTGATGGTTTCAGTTCCGATGTAAACAGCGTCTTGTTCAACGGTCAAATGTACAAACAGATAACGGGTACGCCAATGGGATCGCCAATCTCTGGACTGGTAGCGGAGGCAGTGATGCAAAGCTTGGAAGAGAAGGCATTGCCAATAGTAGAGCCCAAACTTTGGGTACGTTACGTAGATGATACTTTTGTCATCCTCAAACGCTCCAGACTACAAGAATCACATCAACTAATAAACAATATTTTTTCCGGCATCCATTTCACAAAAGAGGAAGAGAGCAATGATCAGTTGCCATTTTTGGACGTGCTCGTGAGAAGACATGCCTCTGGGTCACTGGAAACAACAGTTTATCGGAAAGCGACCCACACTGATCAGATCTTAAACTATCGCAGTAACCATCCGACCACATACAAGCGAAGTTGCGTGAGGACGCTTTTCAAACGGGCCCAGACACATTGTAGCACGCCTAAACTGAGAAAGGCGGAGGAAGACCACCTATTTAACATGTTTCAGCGAAATTCGTACCCTAGAAGCTTTATTCTACGCTGCCTGATGTCGAAGAGCCAGTCACCATCCGCGTCCACATGTGCAACAGAAAGAAGAACTATTATCCTACCTTACATCCATGGGATTTCTGAAATGGCAGCGAGGCTTCTAATGCCTCACGGGATAACTGTTGCACACGAAGCAACGGAAACCATACGGAATAAACTTGTTAAGGTAAAGGTCAGACTGTCTAAGAAAGAAACATCGGGTGTGGTTTACAAAATTTCCTGCAAGAACTGTGAGAAGTACTATGTAGGCCAGACTGGAAGAAAATTTGGCACAAGAATGCACGAACATAGTCTGGCCATCCGCCGCCACGATGAGAAATCCTTAATGTCGGTACACATGGATGCCGAGAACCATCAGTTTGATCTGGAGAACGTTGAAATACTTGGAAGAGCAAGAAACCGCATAGCGCGTGAGTTCCTCGAGGCCTGGCATTCTGGCCGGAACTCAATCAACAAACACCTGGAGCTGGAGGGTGTGTATGAAGCTCTGCAGGTTAAGCCAGCATTAGGCACCAGATCGACAAGGAGAAGAGGTGCCCACATGATGGACACGTGAACCGATCGAACGCTGACATTCGAAGCAGGCAACAATCAATAGCCATTCAGGTCTGGCATTGGTTTGCGAGACTTCGCGAATCAGCATCAAATAGCTGCACTGAAGATGTTACTTAGTTTGGTAACGAAACGTCTGCAACAGAATTGCGCAGCTCGGAGAACAGGACAAACTTTTCATCCTCATCCCGAGCTACAGGTATTCTCAATAATTTCCAAACAATTCGGGCGACAATGTATACCAACGTCTACAATGGGCTCCGGTTTTTTAGCGAGCAGTCGCTCCTCAGCCGCATCGGTTAACTGAATGAAGGGTGACCTTGATTAAAGCCGGACCTAATTATTAAAGGGTGGACACCGCCATTCTGGCCCACATTGTGGACACTGGACATGAGGTGGATTGGAAATGCGCTTTCCGAATAGTTTGCAAGATTTCGCCGCACCGAAAGAAAGTTTACGACCTTCGTACGCTTTCGGCAGCTGAAGCAATATGCATTCGATCGTCGCAGCCGTCCTTATGCTCACAGAAGAAACTGGTCCAGGCTCTCCAGCTTCCCTGGCCAGCGAAGAGGGATGACGCCCAGGTCGACTGCCTTCGGTCAGACGCGGTAGAAAACAACTAGCCATCTAAGACCTAATCTATTTGCTCAACTCTGACATAGACCTTCACGTGATCATGTCGTTTTTGAACTAACTGAGTCGATTTCTATTTCTAGCCTCCATATGATTGTGATAGTCTGACGATGATTCATTGAAACCAGTTGCTCACCAGAGGGTCTTTTGTTCTAGAGACTTAAATGGGAATTTTCAAGTTACTTAATTATTAACTTATGCATGGCTAGATTCATCTGGAATGAAACACCTATCCAGTTTAGTCGGATATTATGTTCCTCTCAGTTTATATATTTCGGTTTTAGGTCTGTGTCTTATTCTCCTCCGTTTCAGCTCGAGGATCATTTATCCACACACAGCATAATTGTCGAGCGCAATTATAGCGTTTATCATGGGCACTTAACCGCAGGTCAGTTGGCTGGTAACCCAAGTTACCCGGTTTTCCATGTCCAATGTGAGGTTCTCTTCATTGTCTGTGGAAATTTGCCTTTAAATCCGAATATTGTATTTTTATGGGACCAAGTTGAAATTTAAATCTTTACAGCTCCATCGAAATGTGATCAGACTTGTGAAAAAAGCAAAAACTACCTTTGACCTGTCAACACTGATCGTTTTTCAAATTGCCGCGTGGTATCGTAAAAACCGTATGGCTCAATAAATTTGGGACTCACAAATATGAGATATCACTATCAGTGTGCAATCGTCCTCTGTATCTAACACTGGACAAAAATGTACATCCAACAATGTTCTGAAATGTTGCTTCCATTATTTGTTCCGGTAACCCGTTCTTTGCATTGACCACTCGCTGTTCATTGCACAGGCAGTGGGGAATTTGTTTCAGCTTTCCCACCGCAAACATGCACCTGTGTGCTGCAGGCGGTTTGCATGCGGAGCAGTGGCCTCATCATGATGAAGTCACCTTGATGTAGAATGCGGTAGGTGATGGTCTTGTCAACCGGTACCCGACGATAGACGGCATGTTGTGCAGTCCCAGCCTCTTCTTCCCGCGATAAATCCCGTAAACTTGGGATGAGCCTAATGGCGACGTGAGCCTGCTTGCTCGTCGTATGATGTGTTCCCTCTGTTCTTAAGCTATTAACCTGTTCTAGTCTCACGAGCAGCCAGAGACAGCAGCAGTTCATCGTTCAGCATCACTGGGTGTCCAACTTTACCTGCAATTCCTACACCCCTAATCCGTTTTGCCGTTTTCTATTCACACATCACGGACGAATGTGAGACTGACTCTATCGATCCCGAGTTTCATTTTCTTGTAGTCATCCTACTGTACATGTGGCTATAGTAGTTAACCTCCGCTTAACGCATTCCCTCCCAGGTAGGTTTAGTTTTTGCAATGTGGTTAACACCGCACTAACCCTTTCGGACTGGGTGCTGCTTGGTTTAGCCTATAAACTTGTAAACTACGTTCCTCGCACTAGTTTGCATTTATTGCTCTCCGAGCCGTCTCTTTGAGCTAAAACGCGCTACTTACTTCAACCAGTTTATTATGATCAATGAATTCATACGGCTTGAGAAGCGTTGCTTTACAATTCCCGTTGGATAATTGGTGGGGATATCGAAATAACAATAATGATAATAATGATAGTAAAACAGTTAGCACTTCGAAAATGGAAATAAGAACTTATCGTTTGCTTCGCCGCAGTCCTGCAATCTGCTTAGATTCACAGCACCCGCAGTTAACATCAAATAATTCCATGGTAAACTCTAGGTGTAGGATGGGCGTAGTGCTAAGTGACAAATTGTAAGTGAATGAGTACGTCATCCAACCGTCTTTTAAATACTGTTAGTGTCGGTGCAGAGATGACCGATTCTGGGAGAGCATTGCACGAGTGACAGACACGAATGGAAAAGAAATGTATGCGGCACTCCAGCCGGCTATGCTGTACAACGAGTTTCAATGAGTGGCCCCTCAGGCTTGTATTGGTGCTGAGTCGCAGTAAAGAGCAACACACATGATGTGGGTCTCGCAGAATCAAGTATGCCATAATCAGGTCGCCTCGTAGTCTACGATAGCTTCCACTGAATACCCCCAATCGTTGCAGCCTCTCCTGGTATGAATGATTACGCATTCCAATTACGTTTCAAGAGATGCCCGATGTTGTGGCTGCTCCAGTGCATTAAGGTCGTGTTTCGGCCATGGATGCCAAGGTTGAAATGCGTATTCGACATGGGGCGAACATACGCACTGAGCATTTGTCGAAATATGGAGCTGTTTATTTGTCCAAACGTCCGCCTCAACAGCCCGACGTGTTGGTTCCCAGTCTTCGAGGCCTTTTCGCATTGCCTGGAGCAACCCAAGTCATCTTGAACCAGGACACCCAAGTCACGTTCGAGAGTTGATTGTTGCAGTACATCCGTTCCGAGTCGGTATGAGGAGCTGCTCTGATGTCGGATGGAAAGCACATTGAGTTTACTGACGTTGAAATGCTGTAACTTTTGGGTTAACCATTGATACACCGTATTTAGGTCACTCTGAAGCAGATTCTGTTCGGCGTTCGCCTAGGTCCTATACCAAATCTTGAAATCGTCGGCAAACGTTAGGAAATTTGAAGCGATTCCCTGCGTAAGGTCATTACTAAACACCAAAATCAAGTGTGGACCTAAAACTAAGCCTTGCGGCACACTACACTCGACTTGTATGGGGTCCGAACTCTGACCACTAATTACCGTTTAAATAGAATGTTGGCAATCCAGCATAAAAGAGGGTCGGCAATCCCGTAACGCTGGAGCTTGGAGAGTAGTATCCGATGGTCTAGACGACCTAAAGCTTTCGGAAAATGCAGGTAGATCACATCAACCCCTTCTTCAGTGTCAGCCGACTCGATCCAACTATTGCGTGCCTTGTGCCTAACCGCTGTCGGCGGAACCCGGGCTGCTCAGGCGTGATATGTTACAGTTTTCCAGATGGCACACTAGTGCATCGACAACTATGGATTCCATGATCTAGCTTCACAGTCCTGCTTTCCATTTTTGAGCTAATTGCTCATCCGTAGTCGTCATCTTTTCACGGTGTTACTTTGCACGCCGCACGTTGACTAGCGTCCTCAAATCCATCCCAAGATCACATAAATATCCGGTATCGTCAGCATGATTTGGATCAACCGATTTCCCACTAAACTGCATCCCACAACCCACATAATCAGATTCCGGAACTCATGATAAATTTGTGCAAAAATGGTGAATTAGAGCAATGCTGACAAACGTCAACTGTTGTCGCAAATACGTCTGGCGACTCATCGTAGGCAGGCCATAGTGCTATTTGTAATGCTGTGGACTTGCAAAATATTTCCACATTTGGTGGGAACGCTTCCGGGAGAGCATATCGAAAATGGAGCGCTCGACTTAATCGAACGCACTTGGAACTCGATGGACACACCAGTGGTCGATTTTCAGTACATTCGGCGCTGTTCTAGCGCCTGCTGCAGAGTATATGATGTAAACAGCCCTATCCGGACGGAGTGACAGCTCCCAGACGTGTCAAGCCGCGCTGGACAGATTAGCACTGGCTGTCAGTCGCTTTGGGCTTTGCTTTGCACCACCGAAGTGCAAAGTGTTCCTCCAGGATTGGCAGGGTTCGCCCCCTGTGCTGACCCTTGGTGGGGATCAGCTAGAAGTCGTTCAGAAATTCAATTACCTGGGAAGTTGTATCAGCGCCCTTGGGATCGAAGACGAGATCACGAACCACATAGCGAAAGCTCGAAGTGCTTTTGCCAACCTTCGCCACCTATGGCGACGGCGCGACATTACTCTCGCCCTGAAGGGTAGAGTGTACAATGCAGCGGTACGTTCGACCTTACTGTACGGTTGCGAAACCTGGCCCCTAAGATCGGCGGACATGAAGAGGCTACTTACGTTCGACCATCGGTGCCTTCGCAGTTTGGCTCACATCTGGTGGGAACACCGCGTGAGTAACGAGCGTGTTCGACGCCTTGTTTACGGCCTAGGAAAAGGGAATGAACCGCTCAGCACCGTCATTTCACTCACCAGGCTCCGATGGCTGGGCCACGTGTTGCGCATGCCAGCCCACCGACTCCCTCGACGTGCGTTGTTTGCTCACCGGGGTTGTGGGTGGAAGAAGAGGAGAGGTGGCCAAGCGATGACTTGGTCCAGAGGAATGAAGACCCTTACTTCGGAGCTGGCCTCAGTTGGAGCTTCACGGCTCCCTGGTTGGGGTCCAAAAGACGGTGAACACGTTTGGCTGGATACACTTACTGATATGGCAAGGAGCCGACCTCAGTGGCGTTCGTGCTGTGAGTTTCTTTGTTCCTCCCCATCCCTTTAGCCTCCCCCTCCATCTACGATCTTATTTCGTAGGGTAAAACGTAATTAAATTTTTGTTTTTGCCTAGTAGCCGGCTAGTAGCTTACCGGAACGATGCCTATCCGTCGCTGGTAGCTCAGCTGGCATTCAACTGTCGTATTTATTTTTCCTTTATGTATTGTATGTATGTATTTCCTTTATGTATTGCGGTACAATAGCGGAGGTGTTTTACCATCTCTAGCTGACATGTATAATAATGATGATGATGATGATGATCCGGGACGGAAGCCCGTCTGCTCTTTTCTCATCTTGTGGCCAAGTGGTCTGCACGCATGGCTTGCAATCATAAGGTCACCGGTTCGAATCCGCGTAGAGGTGGGCGTCCTCGCGATATACTCAGCTCGCGCGCGACTGGTGGTGGTCACGCGGCAGCGAAGCGCTGTTACGGCGTATAGCTGATTCATCCGAGATTTCTGTTCCGCAATAAGTCAACTGACCTGTCCCACTTTCTTGTCACTGTTATTGTGAAGAGGAAGCACATCCAAAACACAAGTTGTTAGGTGTCGTCTCATGATAACATCTAAATCCTCTCACCGCTTACTTATTACCTGCTAATATACATCGCACTTCTCATTTGTGAACATCGGGACGTAATCAATGAACACCCGAATGATTTCCACTTCGTCGCCACCTTCTACGTCTTGCTCAGTTGTTTGTACAACGTGATACAATCTTTTATAGCGTTCTTCCTTGATGTAACGGATACCATGGTTTCAACTAACGCCTTGTAATGAAACTTCTCATTGAAAAGGGTACCGTTGGGTATGCGTTTCAGTCTAAACCCCCTACCCGTTATCCTTTTATAAGTCTACCGAAACTGTCTTCCGATTTGCGTTGATTCGTCTTAACTATCCTATCCCACTTTTTCCTTCGACCTTATGATCAGAATCATCCTGTGTAACTTATCTCTTTCCATTTCTACTAACGTGGAAGTTCCGTTGGTGATTCACCGCCAACTATGCAATGTGCTGATTATGGTTTTTTGTATCTAACCTTAGCTAACTTCACCTTAACGCTTCTCCGCATTTTTCGAATGGCTGCCTCAGGTGGTCAACCAGTTCACTCATCCAGCTTGCTTTGGTACCCGATAATCCTCTTCACGCGTCAACATGACTCCTTTCTCTTTCCAACTATGTAGACTAGGATGCAGTCGTTTATAACACTGCATTGGGATCCTTGTTTGACCACGGAAAACTTCAAACTATTGCTTCTATCTGATAAGCATCAATTAGATGACATTGAAACTTGCTAGCTGGTGTTCAGTGCCGGTCTCTGAGGTCACACTCAATCAATCTGTTCTCGTCCTATCTGAAGACCTTCCCAGTAGCTACCACTTTGTATGTTCTTGCGTCTAGTTTCGCAGAGCCCTGAAGTGATCGGTCAAAGTTGTGATCAAAAGACATGAGGAAATTTCTCGGAATACAAGCGGATTACATGTGCTACTTCCTCCCGTAGATGGACCTCGGTAAATCGAGATGCAATCCTCTTGACGAGATCAGTCATGAACTCTGTCAGATGTGTCACAGTCGCAAACTCAGTAGCACCCTCGCAATCAGCTAATACGTCTCCGACACCGAACTCCTATGTACGCTTGTTCTGTCTTTTACTCTTCCCAACTCGACTGTTTTCCTTCTTTCATTTCTTGTTGACGAAGTGGGTCAGCGCAACTGGGTCATTTTCACTATATTTTATAGCTCGCTGTTGGTCCTGTGATCCCTTCTCCTTGATGCTATCCGACCATATTTTCTCATCCTTAGGTTTTCAAACGCTTTTTGCTCCTCGTCACAGTCCTGATATTGCTCCGTTTATGCTACATTCTCACGCACTTCTCAGCCTCCCACTCACACCTTTCACTGTTTTTGATCCACTTAAGTCTATTACAAATGTTTGTCTTCATGCTTATTCCAACGTGCTCTTTCATTCTTTTCAGCGTACATGCGCGTTTTGCTCGAACAGCTTGATGTTGTCTCGGAGTTTGAGAGTTTGACCGAGCTCTCTACCCAGGGGCGACATTTAGAAGTTGTGACGAAGGTCTGTGATACGCTGAGAAAACAACGGTTCTCTGAACGGAACGCTAGCGATGAGGGGCCGAAAACAGTAAGTTCGGTTCACGAATTCTCACTATGTAGCCATGTGTGAATTCGGTACGGTCATAGTTTTCTCAGACCTCAGCGATTATACCTTCATGCACTTGGGTACAGCGCGACAGTTTGTAGCTGCCCGTCTCCCATTCCGTTTCGCAGCTTCTCCGGAGTAGGTGACCAGTTGCCACTTTCATGCACACATCCACCCCAATAATTCTATGGCGTTGTGCCCATAATCATTCCGTTATACCTCCAGTTCTTTCGGTCACGTTTGTCTTTCCTTGTCATCACTCCATACGCAACAACTCCGTCATGAGGTGAACCGTGTCGAGGTGCTCCAATCAGCTCAAGCAGCACCGATATTCTTCCCAGGACAAAGCTACAATGTTCCTCATCTTCACTTTTAGCTTATCAGCAATTGGGTTGCAGTATTTCACGCACACAAATCACGTGGATGCGGACAACCCACGAATTGGTATGTACATGGCGGTTACTTGCTCCAATCTCTTCGTATTCGTCTGCCTTATTTCCAGTCTTCGGCTCACTGGGCGAGCTTCTCGAACTATCAGAATAGTACTAATAATGATAATTTTTATCCCCTGCGCTGGTCTCCCCTCAACCTGTTACCCGTTGTTCATAAAGATCACAAGCCTACCTTGTAACCCGAGGGCGCGGGTTCGAACCTTCTTAGGGCAGGACAACCCTTGCAGTATCCTTCGAGCACGTGCGACTTGGTGGTTGCGTAACGGCGAAGCCTCAGTACTACATACTGGCGTACTGCTGATGACTTTATGTTCATAAGTTTTCCCGTATTTATTCGGTTCCTTTCCCCATGGGAATTCATGAAACCACACAATGTCCTTGGATCAATCTCTTCCTATTCTTGACTACGTCATGCTCGTCATTTGGACTTATTCGCTTTTCACAGTGGTGACGTGTTTCATTAGGTGCCTGAGTCCGCCAGTTTAACTAAGTTCAGAACACCTTAAGCAACTGAACTATTGTCTTTTCCCCCTTTTTAATTACAGTGACATCAGCACGCCGGTATATCATCTTGGCGTTTCGTTGTCATACGGCCATACGTTGTGAAGAACGGCCCCATTAATTAAGACTGAGAGGAGTGTACGATGGAATACCTAAGGTCACTCACACCCGTTTATTGCCAACTTGGTCACATAGGGGTTCCTGTGTTGCGATGCTCAGGCAGTGTCGATAAAAATCTTCACAGCTTTTATTACTCCGCGCTATCGTCAATCTTGCTCTACAATTCACTCAACGGCACATCCACAATCCGACTAAGGGATCACAATGAGCACACCGCAGGTGCGGAGGGATTGCGTTACTCCCAGTCTAGGATGCAAATTGGGTATGGTGTATTTCTTTCCTGGTTTCCAGATCAACAATGGCCCCTCCCCCGCTAATTTTACGTTATCTAACATTCGGCGAACAAATAGGTTCTTCGCCTTGTCGCGGATGGCCGTATGTAGCTCCATCGAAATAACCTAATGCTTGCATCCTACTCTACGCCTGCCAACTCTCTATCTGGTGACACGCTGAAACCACTGGATATGGACAATGCTGCGCGAGCAACTATTGTCCAATATTTAAATGTGTCTGTGCTACTCGTACAGAATCATCCAGATCTCACTACTGTAGAGGAGATTGGCTTTTGCGGCGATCATGTTTACGCCGACTTTACATCTGAGAGAGTCCTCGTTCTGACGCCAAATATCTCACTGATCCACGAACATGCTTCTAGTTTTCACAGCCCTTTTCTAAATTCGTTTTCTCCACACTCGTTACCGTTACTGCAGCTTTTAGGGTTTGTGACTTGGTCAACCGTATACGATTGTTTCCCGTTGTCAATAGTCAGGGAGCAAGCAGGCGGCAACACAACGCGTGTCATATGTGTGTGGACCATTCCAGGGAGTTTGCCCAGGTTGTCTCTGGATTTTCTTAGACAAGATGATGTGCGCGTAATTCAGTTTAACCGAGAGTACTGAATTTACCATATCATCAGTATTGGCGTTTTTCTTGACGCCACCATGTTCGGCTAGATCGTATTTTTGTGTCACGCATGCTATCTGTTTGCTATCGACACGCGTCTTGGGAACTGCGGAATGCAGTCTGTATTCGCTCTATTCATGTTCTCTAATCGTATACACTGGCAATACACCATTGCGTCTGCCTTTCTTGAACGCTCATCGAAACGGCGTGACGTTTTACAGTTCAAGTTCTGAGCAACACTTGTAGTGTACGACAAATTAGCTGGATGTACCAGGGTATCAGAGTTGGATCGGTCGGATTCCAGACTGCTAGACGCGGAAAACGGAAACTCCTCAACAATCCTCTGCACATCGCTCATACCTCGTCCACTGAGACGTTCGATCAGTCGGACTGCTGCCTCAGACTGGTGTGTGTAGCCCACAGTATGAGACGACGCTCATTGGTTTTTCTAGGTCCACTCCATCAGGCTGAACCTACAGGATCCACTTTGGTAGCGACAGTAGAAACTACCTTTGGTGGCCAAATCTCACATTGGATATCCTGATCCACGCGCTCGAGTGGTTGCCCTCCTAAACAGTGAACAGTGACTCGTTTATTCCTCCTTTCTAGTCCAAATGCCATGAAGCCTTGATTCAGCGGGCGGCTCGCGTTGGCGAGTTCGCAGATTGCTTTCCATATCTTTCCATCAATGTCATTCTCCGCGTTTTATCGCGACGGCACTTGTATCACCCAAGCATCTCGAGTTCTTTGTCTTCTAATCGGGGGTCAGAAGTGCTGAATGTTGACCTGTTGCAACGAGGTTACAAAGGAGAATCACTGCGTTACTTTTTCCTAGTAGCACATGAGTTATCACCGATAAGGAATAAGTCTAGATACATAGCATACCTATCATAACCTTTGTTTATGAATTCGCTATCGCTTTAACACGTCCACCCGAGCTTGACGGTCAGTGACTACTTACAGGTTTCTATCTCTGGTCACGGTGTGAAGGTCGGTCACAGTATAGGGGGAATCTCTGATGTAAATCTTATCACCGGTGTAGTCTTGGAGTTTTGGACCTTTGACTTACACCAACCATCAGAGATGTCGTTCAAATACGCTCTTCACCGCATTGAAGTCGATAAGGTGGATAGCGGACATTCAAATTGTAAGGATTTTCCGCATTCTACTGCGGGACAGCCGGCAACAAAGAGCAGTACTATCTATGGATTTTTACCGGTGCTTAACATCCATAGTCACACCATGTTGCGATAGTAGCGTCCTGGTGGTGTACCTGAGTCAAAATCCCCTTCTGTTTCCTTCTTGCCTAAACTTTCACCGATCTAGCCTTCATACTAAATGCTGAGTAAACAATATACAAAACAAGCTCTGTCTAGCATCGGAGTCACTTGTACGGTTAGTCCTGATACCCTTGAGAACATGAGTTAAGCGACTTGATCCAACCATTTATCTGAACGTTATTCATCTTTACTTACTTCCCTACCAGCCCGAGTGCTGACTTCGTCCCTATCTTTTAATTCGCTTTATTTCCGTAAGCCGATAAGTTTAACCCGGCCAGACAGTTGTCAGCGCTCAGTTGCTAGACATCACGAGTATGGATATCAGGGAGAAAGGTTATTGAACAAGAACGTCTTCAGGGGTTCGTCATCGTACCCTGCAACTAGACACTCAGTCAATAATACGCGTCCAAGCTGCGTTCTTCCACACCACAATTTGCGATTCTATTGCGGCGGTCGTATTTCCTTTTCCGATGATTTCAGTTGCGGTTTAACCACACAAAACTGTTTGGTTTTTGTACAGAGTGTTCTTACAAGCGCATACCGTAAGAATGTTTTGCCTCTTGCACACCTTACTCACTCGAGTTCCGGCCCACATCCCATTATTTGGTTTCCTCACTTTCGTTTTCTTAGGTCAGTAACTATGTGCGGCAAACGGATCGATTGTCTCTACTTCGATGTTCCCTAAGAAATCTGATATGCACTATGTCTAACAACCCACCGGACACTGACAATCAACCAAGTGACGTAGCCGAGCATTGGGCTGTGTGCTATCGCGCTTGCGGCTTCCTCCTGGAGGGCACGTGCACATTATTTTTGCGGAATGAGCCAGTAAGCACCCGCAACTCGGATCCAATTCAGATGGAGCACCCTCGTGATCTACTCTCCTCCATTGCTGTGGATGCCTTGCAAATGCTCCCCATGTAATGTTCGCGTTTTGGTTTTCTCTGGTTTCTTGGTGGTTGTGTACTACTTAGGCACAGCCTTAAACTAAATCGGGAAGTTCGTAGAAAGTAGAAGTCACGATTCCTCGTCGAGGCAGATTATTGTGTGCAGTTTAATCGTAACTTCTACTTTCTACGAACATTACACTTCTCACAAAAATTCACAAGTAAATCGGAAAAGTTGAAACCAACAATAGCTAGACAAATATGCGAATAGTAGAATAGATGACATCGATACGGTTACTATGTGAGGTAAAACAAAACTAAGCTTTCCGATAAAATTGTTGGTGACTTATCGTTACTTGATATGATATTTTAGTCTCCTGAGGTAGGGTTTTACTGAGATGGGAAGTCGTGGCGTCTGAGAATATGACAGCGTGCTAACTGTATGCTACTCGTGCCGTAGCGTACGCCCGAGTAGGTCCAGTCGTCTCCTGTCCGAGCTATGCGCGGTATTTAGAAGAGTATATGTGAAACCGTGCCCCATGCTGAGGCTGATGTTGCATTCATGATGCTTCTTCCCCGCAGTTGGGTTACATCAACTTAAACTAGGTCTTTGTAAGCTGGCTAAATTCCATTCCACTTTATTTGGTTTGATTGGCCTACCTGACTAACCTTCTATTAACTGGCCACGTTGCTTACGCTAATTGTGGTTATCTTCGTTAACTTTCTTGCGTTTGTGGCATTTTTGAGTAACTTTTGTACTTATCGCGGTTTCGTTGCTAACCAACTTACTTCATATGCTAACTTAGCGAAGAGTTATGTCGGTGTAGCCGTACTCTTTAACAATATATTTTATTTGATAATGTCATTTCAAGTGATTGGCTGTTTGACATCCCCGGTGCGGCTGCGCTTGATGTGCATGTTGACAAGGTGCTTACCTGTCTATTAACCACTACCTCGTCCATACTGGCTCTAGGAGACAGTTAGTCGTTGCTAGTGGGGACGGGGTGCACGGTTCTTGTGGCCGTGTTGGGATCAAAGAGTGGTTCCATGCACTTAGTGTGGAGCGGACTACGGTCCATCCACCGCCTTGTGTGAGCTTGATTCCCAAATACAACGTGATTGTGTTTGCCTGTGAAGGAGTGTGGGCCGCCTCTGTTAATGAAATGTGTCTCCAGTCCACATGCCTCCCGGTCTTATTCCTTCGGGTTTACACTGGATATGGAGTGTGTGCTTGGAGCTGTGGGTGGTGCAGCGCAAGCCACCCATGGTCCCTCTGTAGGCGCAGCGTCCTGTGGCTGGCCACACTGACAGGCAAATCCGAAAGCGGATACCGCCAACCAAATGTAAAACCATAAGTCCGTGCGTTTTGCTTAATTTGCTGCTGTTTCTTATCTCCTTGATCATTTGTTCTGAGTATCTGCGTATCTCGACCAATTCATCAACATGTAGTGCCTACCACTTGTTACTCGCTTTGTATGTCACACGGTAATGAGTCCAGAGGTCATAGTGTTGCAGCTGTTGGTGAACCCAGCTTGCTAATTTGTCTGGATCTTTGTGTGTGTGCGCGTGTGTGTGAAGGCGGGAACAGGGCTAAGTGGCGTAAGGTGGCACATGGACGGCTTACTTCGAGATAGTTGCAATCCGAGATGGATCACAGTGTCACACGAATGGAAGTGAAATTCATCTATCAAGTATAAACGGGACGGAATGACGCATGTGTTAGGGTTACTACTAGATAGATAACTGTGTCACGAGCGGGAATATGCGATTAATCTGTCAAGCTGGAATGCAAATTCGGTCTTACTTTAGACTTTGTTGGGCGCATTTGTAGTTGCTTGTTTCATTTCGAAATCTCTCCCCCTTCGCTTCCACAGTTGTTGGCACGCACTGTGCGACGATCCTGCCTACGTCACATGCTACACCACGCCTGCTGATCTCGACACATTAGTCCCGTCAGAGGTCGCTCGTCTCCCTCTACAGATTGACGTATGCGATGAACCCGATAATGGAATTGAGTTGTCTTCTCCCAACGAAGCGAACGCCTCAAAGACCGTCCTTCGAGTTGGCGATGCCTGCTATTCAGTCTCGGTCATTTTAAACTTCTTGGCTATGCGCCTGAAGTACAGCTTGGATCCATCGGAAAGCTTCAGTCTGTCACATTCATTGGTATCTCTTGTATTCGAGCACCTCGTATGGTGAGTAAATTCATTTCTTGTTGTATTAGGAACAATTCACTTATTATCCAGTCTCTTGCTGTGGATATAATTTCTGTAATGTTTGTCCTCTCTTTACCTTGTCGATATTCTTAGAGACCTTTATACTACGTAGATTTGTGTTGTATCACACATCACATGCGGTACAAAGATATATCACTTGTTTGAATGTGTGTAAGACAACAGATGACACTTTTTCCCCACTTCTACAAATTACCATCAATTGGATTCCTACTTCTACCATTTCCTTATTCCTCTCTCACAGTATCGAACAAAGTGTTCCTGCAACCATTTTGCCCATGGAGCTACAAGTGACCATGTGTGACACCGCCTTCGACGCATTACCCGTGGTTTCGAAGCTCAATTTCAAATGTGGCTCTTACCCCACCTCTCCAAGTCTACTCTGGCTGCATTTGGTGCACGAGTTGTGGAGCGTATCACCAAGAGGCTCTTTGCCCCCATGTGGTTGCCGAGAACGCCCAGATGTTTTAGCTCTTTTGAAACAGATATTACTGAGAACCTCTAACCTGCTGAATACGGTTGGGTCTAGTTGGGTTCCAACGGACCCAGAGTTGTCGGAGCTACGTAACTTGGATTCATCGGGGGTTCAGAGCGATCACGAGACAACCAGCTCTCTCAGCGATAGTGATCAACAGACTAGCTGTGATGACGAAACGGTAGCTTGTGTCGATGAATTACAGCATAGGACGGTCGGTTTTTGGCCGGAGAATTCCCCGTCTTTGGCTATCATCTTGGCGCATGCTATCGATTGCCTCTTGCCAACGGGCCTCCTTCGAGACACGACGGTTGATGGCCTAAGTGATGATTTGGATGCTTTAGAAAAGTGGTCAAAAGTTATTCGCGAGTCTAAGTCTACCCTTTTTCCGAAAGCGAGTCCCCTATGGCTAAGGTTACGGCCCTCATGTACAGATCTGCTTTCGTTTTCGCCCCCATGGATGAGGAGAGTGATGATACTACTCAATCAGTCTCTTCCCGGCAGCCACTGCAAACAACGTTCCAATCTTGCCTCTCCTGCTTGGTGGATCCAAGGACCAGCAACCGAGACGTTGAGAAAATCTTCGGTGAGACAAAATGTTTTTCTCTTTGTGGAACTGGTTGTTGCATCAAACACTACTTTGGCTGATTTTTAGGGAATAACCTTTACAAAACGCCCCTCAGCTTTCTGGACCGTGGCGGAAGATGAGAAATGAACTAATCCTAGACCGGTGTCTACACACATCCCTACTTGTTGGTATGGTTACACGTTAGGCATCATATGATGTGGGGTTGTCGTAGAATTAATTTCCTGTTCATTTCCCGCCTTGCATTGCGAGTCTTCGGGGATAGTACTTCTTGTTAACAGCCTATATAGTCAGTACCAATATCTAACTGGTTGGCATCGCTACCTCGTTGACTTTGTAACGGGATCCTTATTATGCTGGCGTATCGGCGTGCACTGTTACGCATTGTGCCACCCCCATGAACTAAATACTGATCACGTTGGCCCTGATCCTTCCCATCTGTGCGATAACTATTTTCTGGGACAATACTAGATAGATAACTCCCATGCAGGTGCTTGTGAACTTTTTACACTGAAGCCAACAAGTTAACATCCTCCTAGTTTAAAAGGAATATACACTTTTAAACCTTAAGAAAAAGCATTTTTATGTCTGCGGGTTAAATTTTCTCATATCTTTGGTTTTTTTCTAATCCCGCCACTTCAGCGCATTTTGCTTGCAGCTTCCAACCGACCTGGGTTTACTATTAACACGCTTCATTGTATTTCAGGCTTAAGATCAACTCCTCACCTTTGACGCACCTACTTTTTGCAATGCCTGCTAAAATCTCTGACATTGGATACAGTAACGCGAGAACGTTCTATCTGGTCTAACTCACGTAACCACCTTCCACCGTGTTTTAAAACAATTTCCGTTAAGATGTCTGACACTGGAGTTTGTGTCGTATTGGAACCGCGTGTATCCTCATCAGTATTTTGCATTTTTCGTGCAAAGTTCAAAAGAACTTGGATCTCCTGCACCAGGTGGATTATTGCCTCTTGTCAGCTCACTGATCCTCTCCCCACCTCTCTACCTTCCAAAATAATTAAAACGCGCTTTTCGCGCTTTAGACCTCTTTATGCTCAAATGAGTACCATTCACTTCATTTGCATACACTTTGCTCAAGGTCATCCTTTCATCAGTCTACTATTAAAATGGCGGTCACTGTTATCTGTTTCTGCCCGCTGATCTCAGCTTGCAAACCTACTCACATAAGTCCTGTCTTGTATATTATTCTGCCCCTTAGAACCACGTTTAATGGATTATGTTACTAATTATTCCGCCCCAACCGTTTCTTTTGCCCAGACCGTACGTTTAGCCCATGTTTATGGCTCCAAGTGGCACTATTTATATAAATAAATAATAACTTTGTATATTACGACAGACGGTACACAGCCCCATAAATGGAGCGATCATCAAGCGGCGTAATTCGATTTAGCGTAATTCCCTCGTTTTTTATACCGGTTGCTCATACATCCGTAGTATACCGCCACGGATCTCTTCTATTTGTACATTCCAATAAACCAGTATCTAGCACTACGATCGCCCCTATCGTTTTTTTCCAGTCCCTGGATTGGGAGTGCATGAGTATTCTCGTCCACTTCTGCTGCCCTGGATCTCTTCCGGAGTACGATAGCGTAAAAACTCTATCCATTTCCGTTGACGTGAGTTCCCCATCCCCTTTCGTATTCGCTACAGCATTCTGCACGGCTCCTCGCAGTTTGAATTGATCTTCTAGGTGCCTGATTTCTTCTTTCACTGGTGTTGCCAATATTTTACTGTTCGAAATGATTTGGAATATTGGTAGCTCGGGGGGCTTGCTCAGTTGTTGTGGAGTTCTCCGAGCTGGGCAACTTGATTGCAAACGTTTCACCACCATTCGAGGTGGCATCTTCAGTGCGGGATTGATAGCACTTAAGCAGCAGTAGCTGGTAGAAAGCAAACCCAATAATGGACCATGGATCATGAAAACCTGTTCCGTTTAAATGATTTGCTTCTAAGTCCCTCTTCCCATCGTGGTGTGCCTAATCTTTGCCTGCTGGAAGTGACCGCAAGTTAACTTCGCTAGCCGCACTTTCAAGGTACACTCGAATATCATCCTGGTTGCTGAGGATGATAGCGAAAACTAAGCTCATGACCGCAGTTCATGCATGAGCTACTCACGTTGATCTTTGGCCAAGTGGATTTACTCACTTGAGGCCGCTTTTCACAATTCCTTTTTCTTTCCACGACATCACGTTAATGTCAGTTATCTTTAGACCACTTAGTGTGATATCACTGATTAGCTCGCCCGCTCCTGGATTCGATCGCATTTAAATGATACAAATGCATAACCTAACGGCCATCTGTTATGAGTTAGCCTTTCAGTACCGCACTTTCGTAGATGGCCGTAAGCGAGATTGTGTTAACTGTGGAGGAACGGGAATTTAGACTCATCCTATTTACAACGCTTCATAGTCTTTACTGGATATATATAGTTTGGTCCGAGCGATATGATTTTCTCAACAATATCTAGAACTTATCACCAATTTTTGAATTCGTATGGAACATTCAGCTTGTCAGTTTTGGTTATCTAGAAGATCGGTACTCCATGCCAATCGGTGTACTTCACTTGATGATATGCTACTGCCGGCAAACACGTTGTCAAACGTCGACCACATGTCACTCTTCTCGTAGACGATTTCCAGTAGGCTCCAACATTTTTGCTCCATTGCCACTTTCTTATACAACCAGAGGCACCTGAACACCCTTTTTTACTCTCTCTCTCTCTCCGCTTCTGTCCGTTTAAGTGGCGTACGAATCTTATGGTCTAATTGCTCTTATGTTTCCAAGTGTTTCGTTACTAAGGGATGTTCAAATTTTCCCCTCTTTTTATTCTTAGCTTCTCAACCTACTTGTCGAAACCACAAAATTGTTACCGGCTGATGAGGAGGCATTATTTTTGCCTACTACCGATGTGGAAGCCTTGTTACAGTCCAAACCTACTGATACCTTAAAGTTACCGAGGAATATTGTCGGTGTAAGGTGAGATCTCTCTCCAACTTGTATTTTCATTAAATCTCTCAGCTATTCGTCGTGTAAACATTTCCTTCTAAGTCATGCCTATATAGTTTGCTTAATAACACTGCACGACATCATTATTCTAACAGAAATGATATAGGGTGTTTCTAGTAATACCGAGTGAGCTGATCACAACTATGCATGCCAAATGTTTCCATCACGTCGTGTTTTTGTGTAATTTCAGTTTTTTTATTATTTCAGTTAAGCAGTGCGTTTTTATGCATCGAACGCCCGCCTGTGATTGGTCCATTGGCTCCCTGTAACCGTTTAGAAGAAATGATCTTGGTCATGGTAACTACCCGATGCCCAAAGTGTTTCTTTAATTGCTATCCTAATCATGACTCAATGACCGAAATCATTTTTATTACGTTTGTGAGCAGTTTACTACAAAGTCTTAGTGCAGACCCATTTCTTCGCTACTGAAAGCTGCCTTCCACGCATATTTCTGGCTGGAACTGGGACATCAGGGTAAGAAGTGGGCGCCACATATTGCTTGCTTGCCGTGCAATCTTCATCGGGCTCAAGGGCAAAGGCAAGATGCCCTTAGCGATCCCCATTGTTTGGATGAAGCCGAAGGATCACACGGCTGACTGCTGCTTTTGCCTAACTAGTGTCATTGGATTCTCCAACCGAAACAAGGACAAACTTCATTACTCCGATTTTCGGTCAGCTATTCGACCTGTCCCAAATGATTGTACTTTACTCATTCCAGTGGACACCTCACTGATGATGAGTAGTGTTCCGCATCGTTAACTTTACCTGATTTTGATATCTGTGAAAACTTTGAAGCTGATATTATTGGAAAATTACAGCTGAATGACTTGGTACGTGATCTGGGCTTGCCTAAAGACAAGGCCTATTGATGAATGACGTTTGTTCATTGACTCATTCATTAGTAGTCTTAAGGCCATACTGCTCACAGGGGAAATGTGTTCAGTTCAGTTCAGTTCAGTTGATCAACTGTGATCCGAGCACCGAAGTGCGGTGGATCCAGTTGCCACGACTCACATCACAAGTATAACAACAACAACAACGGCCAGACAGTGCAGCTAAAGGCTAATAGAATGCGAAGAAAATGGAAGCGAGAAGGAAGTTCGTTAAATGAATCAGAATGGAACCAAAATTAACAACCAGATGCAAGAAACCGAATATAGGAACGCCACTGACTACGTGACTGCGCGGTGTCAGGTACGATCTCTAACCATTGCTGTGGACCATCCCGAGCCCTTCATCCAGGAAGACGGCACGTACCAGCCTGACCAAGTCTCTTAGTCAGTTTCTTCATACCACCCTGTCACCTTATGGACTGGCCACCTCGCGGTTTCACTCAACTTGGTGCAGCCACGGCGTATGAAATGCACGCCGAGGAGTCCGGTCAACTGGCATACGGAGAACATGGCCTACCCGACGTAGGCGATTAAGATTCAGCAAACACTCCAGTGAGGGATTAGAAGACTTCTTGCCAAAAACCAACTGTCCGACCTCAGCATTGCTCTCCCTGTGTTCCCACAGACGTGAGCAATGCTCCGCAAGCACCGGTGGTCAAATACGACCAAGGTTTTAATGTCTTCGTTGCGAACTGGCCAGGTTTCCGATCCATACAGTAAGACCGACCTTACTGCAGCATTATACACCCCACCTTTACTGATAGGCTGCTATCCCACCGTCTCCATAAATGGTTGAGCCTCTGGGAAACCACACACGCCTTGCTGATACGCGAAGTAACCTTTACAGTGTGTGACCACCAGAGGTGACACAGCTACCAAAGTAGGTGAACCGATCCATCACTTCCAGTGATTGTTCAATGATAGCTTGAACCGGAGATGTGTCGGTTCAGTCTTGCAGCAGTACTTTGCACCTTAAAGGTGCAAAGTACATGCCGAAGCGTAAGGCGCTACACGTCTGTCTATCTGGCAGCGTTGACATAGCCACTGTGTCGGACCCAAGAAGAGCTATGTCGTCCGCATACTCCAGGTTTGTCAGTCAATTACCTGACAGAACATCCACTCCTGTGGAATCTGAAAGAACGGCGTCACTCGAGATCATTTCGATAACAACCTTGAAGAGGGAAGGAGTTATAAAACAACTCTGGGGAACCCCACTTATCGTAGGGAACTCAGGAGACGGTTTCCCGCAGACCATTTCACGGCTTCGGGAGTCGTGATAGACTTAAGACTTCATGGATAGGCAGTGCCACAAGCTGGCGCGGTCAACAGAGTCGAAATCCGCTTTCAACTCAAGGAAAACTACCATTGTTTGTATGTGTGTCTCTGCTCCAACACTTGGCGAAGGGCAAATATCGGGTCGATACAAACATGATCAGAGCGGAAGCGAGCCTGGCTTTCATTGATTTTGTTCTCACGGGGACCAGTACTTCGTCGGAGAATGAGACCCGTGAGAAGTTTGGATGCAACCGAAACTAGCCTAATGCCTCAATGATTTTCGCACAAAATATTCTGACCCTTTTTGAAGATAGGCACGACAGTTAACAGTTGCCACTCTGAAGGAGCCTCTTCACTGTTCTAAATCGTGTTAAATAGAGTCACGAGTCTAGTCAACAAAGGGTCACCACCATCTTTCAGCAAAGATGGAGGAAAGTCGTCGGGTCCAGGAGCCTTGTTCCGTTTCAACACGGAAAGGTCATATCAAATCTCTTCCAACGTGGGTGGTGTCATATCTGCTCTCCGCCATTGGAAGCAATGTCGCCGCATGCGTGCTGAACTGCTCCTCAAAATGTCCCGCCCAACGGGCTAGTCGACGACGCTATAAATAGATCAGCTGCCCGTTTTTCTCAGCTATTGTCTCGCTAACGCATGGCTTTCTCGGACCCATGTTCCGGATGAGCTGGAACAGGACCCGGCTGTTCCCAATGGCGCTGGCTTTTTTCATCTCACAGGCCTTTGCGATCCACCAACGTTCCCGGTCGATTTTAAGACACCTTGTGATGGATCGTTTCAGATACGTTGAACCTCCGTGTCCATTGGAACTTGTTTTCGTGCTTCGATCAAGCTGATCGATACCTCAGAGATCCGTTCGTAGCTGTGACGTCTGAACTTGGGTGCACAGCATGCGTCAAAGGCATTCTTCATGGCACATTTGGGAAGATTCCAGTCAGCGTTCGGCCCACCAACCTCTTTCATCACTGACAATTGGTGTGCCAGTTCTTCGTGATATTGTTGAACTGCAGATTGCGAGTTGAAGTTACAGGTAAGAAGAGAAGGTAGACGCTTCTTCGAAGCGGGAAGGGTGAGCGCCACGCATGGTCGGCATCCAGACACCTGCTCCAAATTGACCGACAGTCTTGGACTGATGTGCGCCATATGTAGCTGATGGCAATATGGTCAATTTGGGTCCAGGCCATGGAGGGATTCAGTGAGCGCCAGGTGACGCGGTGTGAGCGTTTGTGCTTTAAACCAATGATGCTGAGATAACGATTGTGGTCGGCGCACAGTTGCAGGGATCGATCACGATCCTCTGTTCGGCGTGCGTCGACTCCGAAGCGCCCTCTTAGGTACTGTCCAGAGTGTGAAAGACGAGCCACTTGGGAACTCATGTCATCAGCAATAATCACGATGTCGGTATTCGCCATGCAACGAAGAGATGATAGATGTCGTAAGAAATCGTATTTGAAACCCTGGGGCGTAAACTGAGGTGATGAAAAGGCACCTTGGCTTCAGACGCTGCTTATTAACTCAGATAGTTCGAAGTCGAACCGCACACATGCGGCTGTTCACCGGTATCGATCAGAATGCCTTCATCATGTGTGTTGTGAGCAATACCAACACCGTAAGTACCTTGAGCCATGGACTCGGTATCGCCAGAGACTCGAAGAATGTGGTCATGGTCGTCAGATTCAGAACCAGGGAGTTGATGATTCGTCACAACACGGTTTCGGTGACACAGCACACATCAATACCAAGTCAGTGAAGAGTAAGAGTCAGTGCTGCATGCTAGCCGATCTGACTTAGAGTGCGGACGTTAAAAGAACCAATGTGAAATGATACTCTAGGTTTAATGGAAGAGCTGCATGTAACCATGGCAGCAACTGCGAGGTCAGTGACAGCTTCTTGCTCAATAGACGGTCAAACGCAGAGGTGGAGGGAGAAAAACAAGAAGTAAATGGAGTATTGTCGACGTGCTCAAGAGGGCAGATGATGCTCTCTGATTGACCATTCCGAGAGAGAGGTTTTGTTCTAGGTGTCTGCTTACATTTTGACTCAACAGTCTGACCCACAAGACAGTGAGGCACATGAAGCTTCGCTTGGGAGACACAACCCGGAGCCTTTGGCTGAATAGTCTGACCCACAAGGCAGTGGGGAGCAAGTCCAGCTCGGAAGTGTGATTGCGAACACCCCTTAGGACCTGCTTGAGGACTTTGAAGATTTAGTACAATGCGCATGTGTTTTACGACCGCATTACGTTATGCACACACGACCACGGTCAGCCGCAAAGGGGAGTTGGCGGGTTTGCACCAGTTTGACCAAGGCCTGATTGGCTTGAGGCGGGCGGTTGCAAACCATTGAGCACCCGAAGGTGCCCCCCCCTTCAACGTCAGAGACAATGCGTGACGTTCCTGCTCTACGCCAATCGAGCTGTGAGCTTATCGCTCGCAGACCTGTTGTCTCTCATGGCTAGGTTTTAAAAGAAGAGGGTCATCGACCTCTCCCTAACCTCCTAATAGGATCGGATTGGGAAACTGGGTTAGTCTGAACCCCTAAACATTTACCTCTGGTATAAGTGGCTCTAAATTTACTTGGAATGGGAATGTATATCCAACTGTGCCTCTGTCGCATGCCACCAGTATGAACGAAGCTTAGGAAAGTATACAAGCGATGCTCACTGCACTGTACTGTTGAAACATCTGTGCTGACTTCAAGGTCATTGGACTCCTAATGGGTGTACAAGGATGCTTCGCAAAATATTGGTCTTTCTTGTCCAACAACAGCAACTCAACGACACTACACAACAGAAAAGTGGCCAGAGGACGGACTATTCTGCCAGTAAAATGAGTGTAAAGCATCCACCTCTTGTACGACCTGATCTTATCTATCTACCATCGCAGCACATCAAGCTTGGTCTGATTAAAACTTTGTCAATTCCTTCAAGTGAGATGATTTTGCGGTTCAGTACCTGAAACAAATGTTTCCGTAGATCAGTGATGCGAAGCTCAACGAACGGATACTTCTTGGGCTTGATATTCGCGGGTAATGGCAGACGGTGTTTTCGAATACCAGTTTACTTCCTTTGACTTCGAACTGGGAAGATCATTCAGGGCAGTGTGTACAGACTTTTTGGGCATAACAAAGTCAGAGAACCTCAAGGACCTTACCAAAAAAACCTCATTACAGACTATCAGGCTGTTGTTGTTGTTGTTGCTCGAATGTCACTCAAGCTTAGATTTTTACATAATCACCTGGACTTTTTTCCTGAGAACTTGGGATCGGTTAGCAATTAACATGGTGAGCGCTTTCACTAAGACAGTTCTCTCATAGAGCAGCGCTGCACTGGCAGTTGCACGCCTTCTATGATGGGTGACTGGCTGGTTTTTGCAGCTTGAGGGCACTAGATCACACAAGCGACGTTCTCGGCGGAGTCATCATTTCCCAGTGCCAAGCTGCAGTCAGTAGTTAGGCACAAGTGTAGCGGTGATGTTTTAAACGTATTTACCACAAACATGCATACTGTATATGTTATGATTCAGTACACGTACCTAGAATTCGTACGATCTACGCTGGACATTACCGAAAACAATCATTAGCTTATAACAGTGTACACTAATGTACTAGGTAACATCGGAATACATTTTTACGCTCACTACAGTCTATCATTTTTTGTCGTACAATGTAATTATAAATAGCATAAGCCGTTTTTTCCTCCGCTCACATTGTTTTATGGATGACTTTTCTTTCTTGTCAGCCCTCTTTCACAACTCATCTACTATCTAATCGCCGATCACTTCATGAAGAACAATAGTTTTGAGTAAGCGCTGAATTTTCTTCATTGCTTCGCTGGAGTTATACGGTACCTTGCTCAATCACATGCTGTCTCTATCCCTTTTTATCAGTGGTTATATCTGTGCCTTTGTGGAAGCCACTATCGATGATTCTTCGGCCACCACTCATTTCTAATAGCGCTGCTCTACCACACAGTCCGTCTGTGTTGTGCTTTGGGTTTGTATACGAAGCCACATACACCGATCTGATCCGATCACCGTATGTCAATAGCGTCGACAAGCGGACATACAAACTGTTTTCACGTATAAGTAGCGTGTTTTTGATGTAAATGTTCTGCGTAGTAGCGTTCAAATCAGATAATCCTCCACATGTCCGT